GTCTAAAAGAACTAGTTCTGCCCTGGGACTTAATACTATATCTACACCAGCGAGGCCACGGCAAGTAGCATTAGGGCTACCTGAAACACGGAGCGTAAACCGTGTTGTCTCTATGTGTACTAGGTGAAATCGAATTGATGGTTTTACTCGGATCTTGTATGCGCGTTTCGGAGACGCAACATATATCGATCGCACGGGGTTCCAGAGTTCTAGCTAATGAAGCCTGTTGTCCTATTTGGTACATGTTTTGAACATCAAAAGCTCCAATATGTAATTAAGTACAGGATTTCAGGAGACCAGGAATAATGTTTAATGAGCCCGAACCTTTTGCTTCAACGGCGCGATGTGGCAAACGGTCGAAGGAAGGGTTGGTCGAGGAGATGAGCTAGTTATTAAGAGGTGTAGAAAGGATTTGATTTTAACGAATTCGGTCTCGCATGCTGTTACGGGTATGAGGGTGGTTCTCACTTTCCGGCTACCCACACTGTGGAACGGCTCTGGTTGTCAGAAGGGGCATCGGCCTCGTGACTTCTGAAGGATCTTGGCTTTCATCACATGACATCATAACTCTTCTAGATGAAGGTCTAACTCTCAAAGCAGCGTTTATATGGTTTGAATTATTTTTTAGCGAGTTAGTTTTTTGCAGGACGTGGTTGCAAATCCCAATCCAAATCCTCCTCCTTTATCCGGGCCTGGGACCGGCAGTAGCCTGGAAGGGTCTTTAGGCGGAATTTTATTTTCTTATTAACGTAAAGACGTTCCGTTTTACCAAGAACGACAGCAACACAAATGGAAAGTTCCTATGATAGTTACTATGGTTTATCGGAAATTTCTTCCTGGATAATTAGGTTCTTGGTGGATAATCAGCTGCGGTTTTACACGCCGACTACCATACCTTCGTCGCTTCCATAGCAGACAACTAGGTCCTGTCTACCGATTGTTGCTGTTATTTTCGCTGTTTTTCCTCTCTCTCCTTTTCTCTTCTAGCACCACGAATCTAAAAAGTAAATGTGAATTTGAGGCAGTTACGCTTTCGTGAAGATCACAATTTGAACGTTATGTCATCTTCACAAGGATTATAAATACCGTGTACTCACAGTACAAAACCGACAAGCAAGCCCATTTATAGAAGCGTCAGTACATCTGTACGAATACTGTGGCACATATTTTCAGTTGTTTTATAATCCTACTTTAGTAGTATCTCCCATGTAAACTTATGTTATAAAGTGTTGATTATGCTTGTAAAAATGACGATAATCTGTTATGTCAGCAATTTATTGTTATTATCGGAAACCGCATCACAGGAATAAGGAAGCTTCTGCTGAACTGGATATGTTTCACTTGGCTATAATGAGTATTGGTTCTATCCTCACGTGTAATTTCTCATATTCTATAAGCTGAAGTGCGAGCGGAGATTACTGGAAGCTGGGTCATCACGCGAACTTTCAAAGGGGACCGACTCAATAAACATTATCTGCGTCATGAATTTTAGCAGTTGATGTTAAACGACGGTTAATGATCACCGTGAACATGCTTTCAGCACTGCAAAGTCTAAAGTATTCCATCTGGGACATGATGCAAACTGCGCACAGAATACAGGCAACTTAGTCTGGCGGTACCTCAAGTTGAAAAATATCTAGAATTTACGGCGCACTATAGTCTGAAGTATTACGCTAACTGTGACAAAGGTGTCTTCATAGCAAACTTCGCTGCGGTAACGTAGAGGGGCGTTCTCGGCTAATTTGATGACGTTTTAACTACTTGTCACATACTGAACACCCCTGAACACCTCCTAAAATACTTTCTGAAGTTCAGTCTAAGCATGTAACATGCGAACAACGCCCGGAAATTAGAGGCATATCCTAGCAAACTGGACTGTAGGCATTTGTAACAGATTAATTTAGCTTGCAAACTTGCACGAATCTTATAGAATACTGTTATTTGAAAGTAAATATATTATTATTATTATTATTATTATTATTATTATCATTAACGTGGGGTCACATAATATCCGCACAATGTATGAGAGTGAGAGAACCATTCAGAATGCTGAAGAAAATCAAGAGATACAAGCAGAAGGTGCCTGTAGCAGTCGAAATTCGTTGTATGCAAGCTCAAAACAGGCAGCTTTGAAAGAGATACTGTTGTATACTGACTATGAGAAAGAAAATGCTGCGCTCTCACAAGGAAGTTGACTGGCGCTATCTAAAAAAGAACAAAATGGACTTGTTACACTTACTTCAGTATCCTGGTGATAGACTTAAACTCAGATGTCTCAGTGGACAACGCTGGATACAGTAATACAATGGGACGACGTGGACTGGAAGGAAAGAATGCAGACGACCAGAGATTTGTAAATGTAAGTATATTAAATAAGATGATAATGAAGGTAACATATCACCACAAACACAGTCTCATTCTACGAAGAAGTCAGATGGAAATTATAACAGACGAGGGAGACCGATCAAGATTATGAAAGGCAGAAAACAGGTGTAGAGCAGTTTCACAAACGTTTGAATAGACAGGCATTAGAGAATTTACTCAACTTCAAATGAGATTCTACAGACTTTCCAGTATACCTTATCTCGTCAACAATCGAAGAAAATCAGCATGGTAATCAAATCAGTCGGAAGCGGTGAGACCAGATAGTATACTTACTGACACACCGAAATTAGACATAGACATCTCATCCAGATACCGAACAATAAAGAGCTTTTTAGGTGTTAGAACTACAGAGTCATCAATCTACTCTCAACACCGATGAAAGACTTGGATACAGTTTCTTCGCGTCTGTTAAAAACAATGTAGACCTAGTATAATAATTTTGGAGTTTATTTATACTTTGCTCCCACAATTCTAGCGAATTTGTAGGAAAATAAAATTGATTTGACAATGGCTCACAGTTTATTGAGTACACGAAGTCCCCCCCTTATTCAATTATCTTATCAAGGCATCGCGACCATGCCCCTTGATGTAATCTTCAAATGTCTCACACAGAAGAGCTGACAAGCCAGACCAGCCTCACGTTTTCTCAGTAACGGTTGTTCGCACGCAAACTGCTCTCCTAAACGAAGCGAACACAGCCACTCAGTGGATAGCATGAAAAGGGGATTGGACAAACACATAATCACATTTGGATTATCATCTCTCAATGGAACCAACTGTACTTCGTTCAAGGCCCCAGACATGTTGTAATCGTTATCACAAATTCAAAGCACTAACGCACCCTAAGTGGCCCATTATTGCTCGTTTTCCTTTTCATCCTCTCACCCTACGTACACTGAAACTAAGTTTACCTACTTTGTCTTTTTATTTTCTGAGATATTCGTCGTCTCCGAAGCATAAGTAATATTATTCTCCTCTTTTCAACCCACTGATCTCGAACCTGGAAATGTGATAACTTTGAGACGAAAGCATTTATTGAAATAAGATGACATTAAAATTCGCCAAATTACTTGGACTAATGCATATGAGCGGTTAGACCACTATCCAGTGGGTCCTGCTGAGTGCCTGGAACCATAAGGAAACAGTTAGAAGCAAGCTCAAAGAAATTACTCGGCTTATACTAGCTAGTGATGGGTGAGGGAATCAATTTTCATCACAATTCATCTTGATAAGCAATTACATCTCTGCGTTAATAGCGGAATATGCGTTATTTCTGGTATCATTGTGAGCTAATATGTTCAATATATTCAATTCTAGGTTTAGAATTATTTGATTGTCAGCTTCGTCGGAGTTGCTGCTGTGAAAAATAACATAAAATTACATATTTTTACCAACTTTATTTGTTTTTTTTTTCAGTTCACGTCAGTTGAATTAATGGCCTGATTGTTTTCCACCGTTTGTGAATGTATCGAGTTGATAATATGCCAGGCTTCTATGTCCTTAATGTCAAAAAAGGGAATTCATTGTCTGAAAATCTGTTTTCCATAATGTCGCACGATTATAGTGTTGTGATTATTACAGATTCCAGCACTAAACAGCGCTGCTGGAGGTTGATATGTTTCCCTGTATTTTTTTCGTTCTTGACACTTTTATTTACGTTCAGTGCAGTTCTTATGAGATATCAGTATTTTTGGCAAGCGTTTTAATAACCATGGTTTTGTGCACTGGTATGCCGTGAGTACTACCTGGGTAGAGAGATCCAGCTATTAGATATTTGAAGTTGAATAATGACAGTGTTATGCAAGTTACTACAGAAACTTGCACTGTTCTCGGAAATGTCTCATCCTTATTAGTGTCAAACTGCTTAGATAAGATTATGAAGCACTTCGTGCTGTATAATAGTGGTCTCAGGTTGAGAGGATGTGTAGATCGCGTCAAAGTTTATAAACAAGTGTGCTAAGCGTAAAGTCACATCAAAAAGTAATGGACTGTATTGGCCTGGAATCACTCGATCTCGTGAGAAACTACTAATAAATTTGAGTAAGGAGCATGGCATCAAGAGATGCTTAAGCTGTCTTGTTTTAACAAATTTTATGGTTCCCTAAAAATATAAGAAGCTATCTAGCCATAGTCTTTCGTCAGATGCCTATATATTTTCTAATTCAAGCTACCAAGTGTTGTAGGAGATTTCAAATGTGATGAATTTGTCACACATAAAAGTGTGGCCAAATGAACTATCAATGAGACCACAGCATTATTATCATACCACCTAGGCTTAGGTTGTAATAACGATTTCGAACAAGCTACATATTTACGGCTATAGTTTGTGATGATCGCAACTTGAGAGTTTCTAATTTCATCAAATTTTGGTTTCTTTGATTACAGAGAGTCCAATTCAGAATTATTTACGTCAAACAATCATAGACTAACCGATTTCTTCATCGAGCTGTTAACAATCATCATAACCTGACTAAAATTTTACCCTTTGATCTATTCACTACCAAACACCTGGAACCGCAACGAACGAACAAGAATCGAGAGTAAAGAAATCAATGGGTTACCCAAACTACCTCGTGAATAAATATATTGGGTATTGGATATTGAGCAGTGCTATGGTGATGAAACGCTGTGGGTTCTTAAAGGTCATCCAACAATGTGAGTATGTAAATTGTTCAAAATTCTACTTTACCTCCAACAGCTTTTAATTTTAAGGTTTTCTTGGTACTAAAAATGTGTTTCTATTCAAAAATATGTGGGCAATATGAAGACGAAGCTTGGTTAAATACAGGTGACAAAGGCTGAGAAAGTGTGGCTTGAATTCAGGCGACATTGCATCAGATTTCGGTAAAATAATACAACGTTGTTGAACTAATGTCTCACAAGAGGTGAAAAATCTATGGATTTACATCTTTTATCACCATTCAGGAATGGTCAGTGAGAAGGTGTTCAAAACTAAACCAGCCCAAATGTCACGTCATGTACATTTTGCCCCATATTATGCAAACGATTTACACCCTCATTGGAAGTCCGCTCCATAATGTCTTCACAGGGTGCGATCTTGGTTCAGTGACTACTCAAACTCTTCCTACCAGCGCTAATTATATAGGGGACGCAGTCAAGGCAAACGCAACTCTCCACTTTATGAGAAGACAACTTGGTTCTATCAACCAAGAATTACTCTTGACTTTGTTGAAGAGATGTGCGCGCCCACACCTCAAGGTTGAAAAAGCCATCGCACCCCCTCGCCTTAAAAAATACATGAATCCTTTAGATCGAGTACACAGAGGAGCAACAAAATGGGTGATAGGGTTGAAAAATAAAACTTATGAAGATAGACTCCAGTGTTTGGGAGTATTCCCCCTAAATAACAACAGAATCAGAGATGATATGATTATGGTGTATGATATACTAAGCGCGCCGAACCATCTCAACGTGAGTATCTTATTGAAGCATCATCACCACTCCACTCGAGGCAATCCTCGGAAAATGGGGCATCAGAGAGCGAACATTCAGGTTCATGCACACATTTTCTCATTAGAAGTCATTGAAACTTCGAATTACCTCCAAGTTGAGGTGATCACAGCTCCCTCAGTGGATAGGTTTAGTAGAGACTTGATAACACGTGCCAACATGCGGATCATGAAATCCCTCGTGGGCCAGCTGTCCGATGAATGTCTTTGGACCTTTCAGTGGATATTATTTGTCATCTCCTCAGATCAAAAACTTAGTCTATATTGTTTATTATCGCTGTTCCCCCTCCCTGGATTATACTTTAGTCCTCTCACACAATTTTCACTATCAATTAGTACAATAAATTATCCATTATTTACTTAGCCCTGCAATCTTACTCTGATTAGAATTAGAATTTTCTTATTATTATCCTCCACACTGCAATCAACTTATCTCTGGTCTGACAACTGCTGATTGACTAGAATTAGACAGTCGAGTGGCTAGACCATCATTCACAGAACACAACGAAACACCTAAAACCTTAGTGACAGAACAAGAATCGAGCGCAAAGAATCGATTGGTTGTAATCTGATTTGTTCTCTCCCAAATTAAGCTGTTTCTGATGGCTACTGGACAACGAATCAGAAGTATTTTTCATAGACAGGTGTTATTGAATATTTGTATCTTCTGGATGATGGCTTTCGTAGTTCTCCAAGTTTCCCCATAATACAGCAGAACTGTCTTGAAATCTGAGTTAAAAATTCTGACTCTGATGTTGGTTGATAGTGGTTTGAGTTGAAGATGTTGCTCAATTGTAAAACTACAGCTCTTGCTTTTCCGACCCGCGCCTTTACATCTGCATTAGATCCACCTTTCTCGTCGAAGATGCTGCCCAGATATGTAAAGCTGTTGACGTCCTCCAAGGCGTCTTCATCAAGAGCGATTTGATTGACGCATGTTGTGTTGGATCGAAGAATCTTTCTTTTCCTACTGCTGCTTAAGCTGCTGATAAACTGGTCGTAAAATCTTGCATTTGTTGTTGTGTGTGTGATAGAGGAGCCAGATCATCTGAGAAGTTCAGATTGTCCAGCTGCATCCTGGCTATCCACTGGATACAGTGATTTCCTCCAAATGTTGTCATCTTCATAATCCAGTCGGTCACCAGGAGAAAGAGAAACAGTGAGAGTAAGCAACCTTGCCTGACACCGGTCTTCACCTCGAAAGAGTCTGTCAGCTGTCCTTCGTGTACGATTTTGCAGTTGAATCCATCATAAGAATTCTGTGTGATGTTGACTATCTTCTCAGGCAGGCAACAGTGTCGAAGAAGCCTCCAAAGTGTCGTCCTGTCCCCGCTATCGAATGCCTTCTCTTAGTCGATGAAGTTGATGTAGGTTGGCGAATTCCATTCAGTGGACTGAATAGTCTACGTTTCATTTAAATTCACACTAAACTGTCTACATCAGGCGGTAAATATTTGTTTTGCTTTAATTTTTTGCACGTTTTCTCATTTTTATTCATTTTCGTTTAACTGGATCACTGCTTATCGTTGTCGATTAATTTGATTAATAAGTGTTTATTAGTTATAATTATAGTTCTTTTCGTGATATTTCGCTTTTAGGTTTATGCATATACGTCACAAGGCCAATACCTCTAGGCTAGAAGCAAGCCTAGGAAAATATGCATCTTACTGTGGTTTTAATATCAGGACAGTTCTAACCATACAGCTGAATTTACTCGATTAACTGCCCTTAAATTTTAAAAAAACATTGTCAAAATTATGGTACAAATGTTCTGATCTGCTACATGTTATTCGTGAGTTTAAAGAAGTCCGATTTCTATTTTTCGAAGGTATATTTTAATCTTTGTTATGTTCTTTATCTCTAACTTGATGAAGAAGTGTGAACGTACTAATTCGAAACTTGAATAACGTTCCTGAATGTATACGCAACACTAGAATCGGATGTCTATTTAGTTCAGTCGTATTCGTACCGTATTTTCAACCGAACATATACTTGAGTGGTTTCAGTTTGTTTGTATTAACCACCATAATATTCCGGTGTAATCCCGAATATAATTCTAATCTAATACAAATATTGGTGATTCTTGTAACAGTTTGACTATCACACTGGTAACTTTGGCTTAGTTGTTTACGTAAGAAACTTTATATACTTTTTTGACTGTTTGTTCATCTATATATTTTTTAGTTGCATTTCGTCACTGTATTAGTGTATAAATGCTTATAAACGCTGACTAACTGGAAAGCTAAGATTCATTTTAGTAAAGTACATACCAGACCAATCTTCTGCAGATACTAGTTAATTCAATTACAGATGCATTCACGGACATTTTTATTCTAGATCTTATTTGTTTCATTGGTCAAGGTTATCGAGTGTAACGATAATGAATGTTACAATGGGTCTACTATACATTGTAACTTAATCTATCCAAACTTTTCAGGGTGTCATGTATTTAGCATATCTCAACCATCGATAAATTAACATAATAATGCAGTAGAACTAACATATAAATGGATAAACATATAATAATCAAACAAGGATCTATAAAAAGGATTCATCTACGAGGCATTTGGATTAGTTAGACAACTGAGAACAAGTCAACCAATAGAATCGAATTAATCCATTTGATAGTCACATGCTTGGACAGATGTCATATTACAAAATGAGTAAATGGTTGAATAGATTCACCTGTTTGGCAAACACCATTCTTCCTCCCGGCTAAGATATTTTTATGAAGTTAGGTTCATTATTTAAAGTATTCTAAAACAATATTGTAGTTGGTTTGCTTAAAAACCACTAAACTTGTTACTGAACCATGGACAACTACCTATAAAACACAAGTAAGGTAAAAGCAAGAACGTACTCATGATCAGATTGCTGGAATATGGATTCGCACTGAAATTATTTCAGATATTTGTCACTGATCAAAAAATGCTTAGCAGGCACTGGCACCCCATAATATTTAAATGAATGTTTTTAGGGTCACTAGCGAAAAGCGAATCTACCCTATAAAAATATAGATCCGGCTAGTTTGCCGAATTCTCAAAATATATTTGACTAGTAATGGTATTCTCCACAAAATTTGTTCAAATATTGCAAGTTCATTTCTTCTATATTTACCGAAATGTGGGAAATTTTCCCAGTATACAACTGGACTTTGACATTTTCCCACTTGAGTGTTTTGTTGTAATAAGAACATACTGATTCAAAACATAGTGAAAGCCTTTTTAAATGAATCTAAGATGTTTCAAAAGTTGTCTTTTAGTTCCCAGTATCCTATACCTCAAAAAATACTAGTTCATAGTTTCTCAAATAGGTGGCATGTACATACTTTCGCAGTCCTTCAAAACAGTCAGGCGGTAGTCTGTTTCAGCAAGTGAAGTGAATCATTTTCAAGTTTTTTTTGTTAAGTAATTTGCTTTAAGTTTACTCATACTGTAGTTACGTTCCTACAATATACATAGTATATATATATATATATATATATATATATATATATATATATATATATGTAGGCGGTATTCGTTTTCGTATTCTATAACACCAGTACAAGATAGAAATTAGTGCGAATAATCTCACTTGTTATAAAATATAACTTGGTCACTGTTTACATGTGCTTACCTATTGTCTAAACTTCGATTTACCTAATTTGGAGTGATCAATCAAGTTCCATAACCATCTGCTACAAAATAAGTGTAACTCCAAGCGTAATGTAAAACTTCACTTGAGTAGTCTTCTGTACCAATCTGTTTAAATAATTCTGAATAGTCTCAACGTCACTTCGAAAGCACTATTCTCTGCAGCATTTCAGTGAATAATGAAACATTTTTCCCATGTTATCAACACTTCTCACCTAAACCACAAATATGAAGACAATCTCAGTGCACAAAATATACAGTTCCTATTCACTAATCACGTAACTAATACACTAGTGTAACATAAAGAATGGATCACTGTTGCTAAACCGGACAATATTCAAGAAGAAAAGAATTAGAGGACATTTATGAATAACAGCTAAACAAGAAAAGAGAAAGTTGGGGTGCAAACCGAATGCACAGAAGTGAACGAGCAAGTAAACAGGAGCATTAAAGTTGATAAGCGAAAATATGTAGGAGACCTAGTTATGACGGTGGGAAGAACTACAAGGGAAGGAAATATGAGTCAGCTATGCGGGTACAAACTAAGTTTGCCGGAAAATATAGTAACGCATCGAGATCGATCAAGACCAAGATAGGTAAGGCAATTACAGACATCAAAGCAAGTGAGTAGAGCACTCTGAAGAAATTTAGAATAGTCCACTGAACCCACTGGTCATCGAAGCAGCTCACACACACCGCATATTAGATACTAAGTGGCTAACAATCGAAGAAATCTGCAATTACATGTGAGTGGTAGATTGGAACGGCCAGACTACATACTAGCAGAGGCACTGACATCAAACAATCAAGTAACTGCATAGTGCTTCAGGTTCTTTTCAGATAGATTTAGGAAAAAAAAACAAGTACCAACCGAGTGGAAAGTAGAATACCTTTTCAAGATACCAAACAAAGGAAATCTTAGCAAGTACGAGGACTATAGAGGAATCATACTACTCTTAGTACCAGGAAAAGCCCTCAACAATTATTTGAATGAAAAAGTTCACAACGAGAAAGCATTTGACCACATGTAATGGAGGCTTCATAGGTTCTATGGTGTACCAAAGGAGATAGTTCTAATCAACACAGCATGCATCAGCGAATTCACATTTGATGAGTAAGACTTGGAAGATGTGGACGCATTAACATACCTGCGCACCATCACTGATGAATACTGTTGAGCTGATGTAGATGTGAAGACACGAATCAGTAAAGCGAGAACAGTATTTCTATGACTGGAGAACATCTGCAACTCAAAATAACTGTCAACCAACACCAACGTCACAATTCTCAATATAAATGTTGATGATTTAAAAAGTGTAAAAACACAAACCTCCAAAACTCTGCCCCAAAATAAATGTTAATTCGATTCTACTGTATGGGGAGGAAACTTGCCGAACTACAAAAGCCATTATTCAAAATATACAGGAAAAAGAGCTGAAGATATATAGGACCCACATTGCGGAAATCACCCACCTACATCACAAGGCAGGCCCTTTCAAGGCGAAAAGAACAAAAGCACATTAGATCGTCTCCTGCTGAACATAGAGGATGAACCAACAAAAATGATGCTTATTTACAATATTTTCTGCTTTATTTCTAGATCCTCAAATGATCTATACGAAACTGGAAATATATAATGTTTCATTTTATAAGTACTTTTATAAACATTGACTATCTATTCAATGTTCATGTTTATTATCTCTCTACAACATAAATTCTCCTGAAACATTAAATACTACTTGTTTTGTAGAAAGAAACTTCTCATTCAATAAATACATAATAGCCTCCTATACTTATGACTCATCAACCAATAAAAATTGCAGTCGAAGAAATCGATGTTAATTATGAAAATTATTTAACTTATCTTAAGCAACGTAATAAAGAAAAAGAATTATTACATAGAAAAACAGACGAGGATTTAGAGAAAGAACGTTTAGAGAAAGGCTTTCAGTTGTATTTTAATGCAGCGACAAAGTATTTGAAACATAAATCCTATGAACATCGTATTACTAACAACAAGTTAAAAAATAAAAGCAATAAAAATGATTCGAGTAGACTGACAGAAAAAATCAAACGTAAATCATGGGATGTTGTCAATATACCATTTCGTGAAATACCATTTACTAAAGAAAATAGTTGTTTATCACAATCTACTAATCCGAAAACTGTAATTTGTAAAAATTTACTAAAAAATTCACCGTCAACCTATCAACAAAATGAGCATGGATCACAATTAAATTATTTATCAATGAAAAATAATTCTATGTACAATGAAACTGCATTTAACTTGATTCATAATGAGAATAATATGAATAGTTCACAAAGTGATATAAATTTATTTGAAAAATTAAACACGATTACATTTCATTTGGATATTTTTGATAACTGGGGTGATAAAACATGGGTTGGATTAAATGGTATTGAAGTTCTGATGAATAGTTCTAGCTCAGTGAAAATTTATCCTGAAACAATCAGTATTTATAAAATCAATTCAAATGATAATAGTAATTCTTTAATTCAAAGTGAAAATCTTTTCAAATCATTTTTTAAGACTACAAATATTCAAGATATGTGGATGACAAATGTTGAAAATCTTCCATTACGTATCCAATTTACATACTCGTTTCAGCAATTCTCATCAAAAGATACAATCACTTTAAATATATGGAATATCATAAATCCAGATCTATTCACTGTTGGCGCTAGAAAATGTCTTCTTACCGTAATTTATGATGATAGAATATTGGTGCTGTATAATGATATTCTTCCAGTAGAAAATTCAATGACTAGTGTAATTTTAAATATCAACGAAATAATACCTTTTGAAAAACTTCATTCTGTCACAAATTCACCAGTCGATAATTCTAATGAATCAAACCTAGATGTTAATGAACTCATTCCCAGTGAAACATGTCGTAATGACAATAAGTTAAAACATAATATTAAAACTAGACTGAATGTTTGGTTTCCTAATTCACAAATTAATAAAATCGATGATTCTACTAAAAATAATCTTTTATCTAAAGTAAATGAAGATTTATTAAATTCTTCATTCAATAGAATTAATATGAAATGTATCACCAGTGGACTTGTACATAAGAATAAACTATTAGAAGAATCATGGAGTTCACTGGATTTTTTTGATCATTTTCACAAAGGTCGAATTTCTATGAAAAATAATATTTCAGAATATTTATCAAATAATCAATTATCAGATTCACTGTCCGATAAACTTGATGAAAATTCAACATTGAACAACAGTTCGTCTTATTTCATTTTGCATGAAACAAAAACTCCACAAACTATGAATAATTCAATAAAATATTATCCACCAAGAATTTATTCAAAAGAATTTTCCATTCCAGAATTACCATTTGGTCATAGATTAATATTGGATATAATTTCAACATGGGGAGATCAATATTATGTTGGTTTAAATGGTATTGAAATATTCACATCGAATGGTATGAATATTACAACTCTATGTCAAATTACAGCCAATCCATTAGATATTAATATTTTACCCGATTATCATAATGATCCAAGAATTGTAACTAATCTCATTGATGGTATTAATTGGACACGTGATGATACACATATGTGGTTAACACCATTTACATCCGGTGAAAGACATTTCATTGAGATTACACTACCAAAATGGATTGAATCACCGATTGCTTTATTACGTATATGGAATTATAATAAATCACGTGTGCATTCATATCGTGGTGTTAAAGAATTACTAATTTATTTAGATAATCAACCTATATTTTATGGGGAAATTAGTAAAGCTTCAGGTTTAGAATTTGGTGAACCTGAAGATTTTTGTGAAACTATATTATTTTGTACAAATAATCAAATTTTAAATTTGATTGGAAAAAATGATACTCTATTAAGATTGAAAGAGAATGATTATTTGAATGACATATGCATGGAGATTAGCGAAGATTTTAAAAAACGACCTGTTACACGTGTATCCATGTCAGATATTAATGAATCTGATGTCAATATAAATATACCTGATGATCGTCCTCTGTCTTCAGCAATGTCCGAACTAGCCATTGTAGAAAAAAGCCCAGAATTAAGCATGACATATTGCATTGAAATTACTTTACTTGAACCATGGGTTCATGGATCTGAGTATATTGGGCTAACAGGTATTGAATTTTTAGATAAAACTGGGAATCCAATAAAAATCAAATCTATATGTTTGAATGATAATGACAATAATAATTCAGTTTTTTCGAATATCACTGATAAAACTAGTGACAGATGTATAGAAAATTTAATAAATACAAAAAATATTACCACTGATGCAAATGATATGTGGCACACTGTGTACAGAGCGAATTCATCACCTCCAGTACTAAGATTTTATCCTGATTTACAGAATTCATTGTTATTATCAACATTTAATTCATTACGTATATGGAATTATAATGATCGACAAGTTGGTAATGATTATGGTTGTAAATTAATTGACATTAAATTGAAAAAACTAGAATCTAATTATCCAGATGATTTCATTTTAAATGAATTAACAATTTTATTACGTCAAGCACCAGGTCATACAGAATATCCATTTGAACAAACAATTCTGCTATCGGAATTTCAAGAAAATACCAATGTTCTTCAAAATATATCGGCTAGAATTAAATATCATCATTTACCAATTGGATTTGTTTATCAATTTAATATATTCTCCAGTTGGTATGATCAATTTTATGTTGGTTTAGATGGAATACAATTATTATCATATGATGGTAATATTATACCGATTAATAAAAATGAAATTTATGCTTATCCAAGTTCAGTGAATGATCTACAATTAAATCAATCATTATTTCCTGATTTACGTACAGTTGATAAATTAGTAGACAATGTAATTAGTAATAATTATAATGAAATGTCTAAACATTGTTGGTTAAGTCCAATAATTCCAAAAATAATTAATAAAATATTTATTGTTTTCAACAGACCAATTTGTATTGCTGGTGTACGATTATGGAATTATATGAGAACACCGGAACGTGGTGTTAGAGAATTTTCTATTTTAGTTGATGACAAACTTTTATTTCGTGGTTATTTACCAAAATTTAAAAATCATTTGGAATTTAATCATCATCATCATCATCATCATCACCGTAATAAATTGTTTAGTAGTCGAATTAAAAAAACAAATGAACAGAAATTATTTTGGACAAATAATCATAGCTCAGTGCGAGCTTATTCAATTGTTTCATTTGATTCAGAAATTTTAATTGGATTAGGTGAGAATCCACAGTGTATATTAAGTATGCATAAATCATCGAACTATTGTGATGTCAATTTAGCAGGGACTGATATGATTAATGAGCAATTCAGTTATCCATCATATACTACTCGATTAAAGAAAATTAATCAAGCACTTCGACCGTCGACATGTGTTACCACTCAATGTAAACCTAAGGATACAATATAAATTGTATTATCCGTCTTTTAAATTGAGCGAAATGAAAAAAAGCCAACTTAACAAATTTTCCGTGGTCCCGGTGTTGTGTTAGTGTATTCAGTCAGAAAAGTTAACACATTTAAAAGCGAAATAATATTTACGCCTTATTCATTTAGCTACTCACCAGTAGCTAAAGTAACTCTTTGTACATATATCCTTTTCTTTACGGAATATTAATCATTTTCAATGTTTTGTTCACTTGCTATTTTTCAATAAAATAATCATTATTAAGAAAAGAACAGTTGTCAATAATGATTGAAGCCAATAGATGAGGCTAATAAATTACTCGGTGAAATAACTTAGCACCTCATGGAAATGGTTTGTTGATAGGACTGATCACATTTCTTAACAGCATCAGCTGAAATCTAACGGGTACAGTTCTGAAAAGAATCTGTACTGTCAACACTTTTTCTGTTCGATTTCCGTAGTTAACAACCTGCTAATATATTTACCAACTAGATGATTTACATAATTCAACTATAGTCGATTGGTTCTTTTATGTATAAGATGTCGATCGAGACCTTCGAAATCAACTTTTTGCGAGATTTTATTTTTAGTGTTTACTTTAAGTAGAATACTTTACTGACTACGATGTTTTGAGTAAGTTTTCTTTACCCCTAGCTACCATCTGTCATGAACTGCTATTCTAAATAGCAGAAACTACTCCAACAATAACTATATAATTTCATGAATTCCTTAATTACTGGTCTGAGTCGTACCCAGAAGTAGCAGCTTCTAGGTTCGGATCTGCTACTGTATTGTACCCTGACATTGCAACTTAGGTAATTTGTGTTATAATATTATAGATTTATTTGTTTTTTGTATTATTTTGATCCTATACCTTGGTATTATGCCGTATACAACTTATTTTCACTTTATTTATTTTTCACTAGTTATTTTACTTCATGTTCTTGTAAAATGTGACAATTTTAGTTTGTACATGCTTTTGTTAGGTCTATCAATACTGCAATCACTTTAAGTAGTGCATTAGTAAAAATTCACAAATAAAATGGAAAAAATGTATGAATTCAAGCGAGTTGGTCAAAAATTAAATATAAGAAAACTGACAGAACCTAAATAAAAACCTATATTCACTTATTTTAAAAGAACTTATCGGTTTACTCATTTAATACTGAAATTATTTAAATTATATTCTCCAACATCTGTTAATACTTTTTTGTATGGTCCAGTGCTTGATTTCTAATCATTCTCATTTGCTGTGTCAACATCATATCTGCTGTCAATTAACAAGAAATGACAAGATTTTGTGATTTTTGTAGTACAAAGATGTTAAAACAAGCTTATGAAATATCAAAGTTACGTGTACATTGAGAGTTATCATCAGTAAGAATCAGCAGTCAACAGGTAATTGTGTAATTGAACTGAATGCTCACAAAATGGTTTTAATGAAATTAGAATTGTTTAGCACTCTCTGGTTTCCAGTCTTTGACTTGTTAAATTCAATGATGTAAAGCTACAAACTGATAATTTACTAAATTTATCTCTGTACGACCTATTGTATGGCCGCTACCAGTTTATCCTTTTAGGTATTCATAGTCAATCTTCATTATTTTATGGCTATAAATTTAGTAGGCAACTAGTAATCAATATTGCTTGCCATTAAAATATACACTTCACAGTATTTAACAGTAGTGATGAGTTGATATTTGGAATTTTGATCCAGTCACATATTCGTTAGAATATATAAATTCAGTCAGTGTGTGAAATAATTATGAGGGAAAAGGCGAGATCCTTAGACATAATACACCATGCACCAACCGGATCACGCTTGGCCGAGCAGCTCTGGAAAATGTGGAAACCTTTACATATCTGAGCAGCATCATTCATAAACAAGCTGGATCTGATGCAGATGTTAAAAAGCAGATCAGCAAAGCAAGAGCAGCATTTTTAAACTGAAGAAAATTCGGAGCTAAAAGCAACTACCAACTAATACAAAAGTTAAGTTAGTTCTGTTATATGGAGTGGAAACTCGGAGAACCACGAAAGCCATTACTCAAAAGATACAGTTGTTTATTGGTCTACTCAAGATACTGCAGATCCGTCGTCCAGACACAATCCGTAAGAATCTGCTGTGGCAGAGAACAAACCAGATTCCAGATGACTAAGAAATTCGGAAATAACATGGAGGTGAATAGGTTTCATATTGTGGAAGTAACCCAGCTGCGTCACGACAAGCTTTTATTTGGAATCCTCAGGGCGAAAGGAAAAGAGGAAGACCATAGGACAAAGGACGCCGAGATTCGGAAACGAACTTGAAAAGAATGAGCAGCAATTCGATAGAAATGCAAAGGACGGGAAAGGACAGAGCAGGTTAGAGATTGCTGGTCTGTGGCCTATGCTCCGTTGGGGATTACAGGCATAACTGATTATATGGTTAAAATATGATTTCTTCCTACTGATATGGAATCGAATTAGTTAAAAATATTGATCACCAATAAATACACTATCGGTAACTTATTTGTTAAAATGGACGAATATTTGTCAATATTTGGATGAATAATTAAACGTAAATTACTTAACAGAGTTTAATTTTAATCATCAAACAATCATTGTTAGACCACCATTAGAAACCTAAAGGCACTAAACGCCGTTTCATTCTGGTATGGGACCCATCGATAGTGCGCAAGCACGACTCCGGCTACTCACAGGATTCAAATATAGGACCTTCGGTCTTATGCTCGAACACCTAACGTCTAGACCACTGAGCCGGTATCCAACAGTGTTAATGTCTACCTCTGACCAATCCAGAAATTTCGGTCTAACAATGATTGAATGATGATTTCAGTGTCTTAAAACACCAATCTCCATAACTCCAATTGAAAAAAATATCAAAGTTGTATTTGAAGTAATCTCAGCTACTGTAATGTATAAATTTCAATGTTTTGTCCAGTAAACGTGTTTGAACTTCTTGAGGATAATTACTGTCCAACTTCAGTCAATCCACTGGATGATGGTCGTTCAATATCATGGAACAATCTAAATTAGAAATTAACACCGTCGGGTTCTGGCTTAGTAGTCTAGAGGTTAAGAGTTCACATCTGAGATCGAGGGTCCTAATTTTCACCCTGCTTCCGCGGTCATGGATGTGCACTTCTGATGAGTCCTATACTAGGACGAAATTACCGTCCAGTGATTCCAGGTTTCTAATGGTGGTCTCACACTGAACGGCTCATGATTTCAATGAAACTCATCAACCTCCTCAACCCCCATACTTTCGGTCTTTCTTTTCTGCTAACTAAGTGAACTTAAACAATAAAATGTGATACACCGAGACAGTTAGGGTGTTCTAAATATTAGAAATTAATATTAGACACTTATATTCTCTCAGTTAGGGAGGACATACAAGAGGATAAGATTAATGTATCATAAATGACGTGAAACAGAATTTTATAAGATTCTTTTTACATAAATCTGAATAGAGTACGTATGCAGAATAAGTATGTTCATTAGAATATAACAGTGAAAATAGTGCTGGTTGTGATATATTTAATGAAGTCCATTTAATTTATTCCTAATTGAGAATTTTTCAAAATCTGTGAGCGTTGGAGAGAGTTCTCCTTCTAATATGGGAGTTCTCGATAGTATATTCCTGAAGACACAAGTACTGAATCCCATGACTTAAGTCACCCTCAGAGAAACTCAACAAACTACACTTCAACCTCGGTCAATTTGTTTTACTGTGTAACAATCGACACAGGTTGATTTGAATTCAGGTAACGTCTTATCTAGGCTTATCTACTTCAAATTCATAAGTCATCGACAATTTGTAACATTCCGCTCCATCTTAACAATAAGTATTGCTTTCTCATATGTAAGTGTTATTCTTTTCCGTTTATCGTGATAGCATACCAAAGAACATCACAACACACTTGAGTATCCATAAACATTCTAGGAAATAAGATTTGATCAATATAATCAATCTTAGTTTGTTGCTTCATCTCTGTAATCAATATGAATTAGATCCATTGACCATATATAAACAATACAACTAATTAACATCGATATCTGAAAGTTACCATTATAATCACAATTGTAACCAATAGTTTGATGTATAATATATGACATGGATAATGTAAGAATTTATTTAGACTGTAAGTGAAAATAATTAGCATCGCCAAGTAAATTGTAAGTGATTTAACACATAGTTCTGTAGACCTTGATGTATAAACAGAACTTATATTTGGGTATGCCGTTTATCATTTTTAACCAATGGATAGAGTTAGTTATGACTCGTCAGCAGTCACAGTTATGCATGGCTGGTTTAGAAACTACACAGATCAATAACATCCGTTACAAATTTTACTTCATATTAATCACCGTATTTTCTGACTTCTCCAATACACATGGTTGTAAAGTGTTTTTATGATTTATACTGATTAATAATTGAAGAGATCGATTACGGTCGAAATATCTAAGTCATCATGTTTCTGGCTATCATAGTCGACAGTATGCAAACAATAAACGTTTATTATCTACGTATAAGAAAATAATGAATGTATAATCTAGTAATTTGTTTAACAAAAGCTTATCAGTACTGCAGTACCTACTATATTTCTCTATAGATTCTTATAAAATGTTAAGCAACAATAAAATCAAAAAATTATACAGATTAACTAACGCCCAAAATGAAATGGCATGTAATTTCTAATAATTTGTTTGTTGACATTATAGCGATGACAAAAAATAATGAAATCAGTCAGTAAAAATATAGTTGCAATAAAATATTCTATTGTTTATTATTGACTACTTGTTAGAAGTCAACATTAAAAAGTATAATGCACTCACGTCATCTGATTATCCTTTAGGACTAGTGAGATCCCATTTCAAATTGACTGATAGAATTCAACTCAACACATTTTGAAGATTTAAATTACTATGTGACGACTAATCGGTCATCAGTAGATGATTAACTTAGTAGTTGTATTATTTATTGTTAAACGATTTACTAATACCATTGTCCATATTGTATGCAGTAACTAATAAAAAGGGTAACATTTTCTATGCTTATTCTACATATAAAGTGTTATTGAAAAAGCAACAAACACGAATATTTTATGAATATTCTAAGCAGTTAACAAAAATGAAAAACAGATGAAAAAGTTTGTAATTGTATTATTAGTAAAATAGGTGAAGTGACTATCATACAAATAATCAATTAAGTGTAGAAATATTTCAGAATTTAAAAAGTAAATAACTTCTAAAATTATAGC